GTTGGACAACCCCTCCACTCTTCGATTTCACATCTTGAACCTGGCTTGTAGTAGGCGAACACATGCCGCGGTGGCAAATTGCAGTCGCTACGGTTAAATGGTGCCAGGCAATACTCCGGGGGCACTATAATAAAATTACAACAACATAATTATTGATATTCGTATATCCAACTGAAGTTCAAAATTTCTCATCTAAGTGTGGGAGAGCATAATGCTTCAGCGCGAGCCGGCTAGACTGGATTGATACCACGGCCTCACAGAAAACTGGCGTCAAATTACGGTAAAGTTAGGTTTAGCCGTGTGAGTGAGGTTACCGGAGGCCTAATCGTCCTCCCTCTCCCCATTCCCACTCCCAATCCTCAAATCGCTTTTATTTTTGTTATCACACAAGTGAACAAATATTAGACTATTTGGTTTTCTCTATTCAACATCACGAATCCGTGACAATCCACTGCTGGACTATAGGCCTCTACAAAGGAGATGTTTGCCATACTCTTCTATGCTTTGCAGGCGAATTAGAGGTCACAGTGTATCAGAAACCGTTGCTGTGTGGTCTCTGTTAAAATGTCCCAAATGCCTGTCTGACAAACGGTGAAGGAAAACATCGTGAGGAAACCTGGGCTTCTAATTTCTAATTATACGTTTGACATCGCCAACCCGCATTGAGCAAGCGTGGTGATTAATGCTCAAACCTTCTTCGTATGTGAAGAGGCTCTGCTCAGCCGTGGGCATTTATAGGCTGTTGATGATGATGATAATGTGTTACATAAGTTTATCCGGTACTTATATGAAGGTGGTGAAACACACGCTAACAGCAGTGGGTTTGTATAAATAAAAGTACACTCACCAGTCCATGCAATATGTAAGACATTAAGTATAACAACCAGGTAGCTTTGTGAACACCAACTACAGCTCATGATGGCTACGCAATCTATGGCACTATTTCTTGCGTGATTTTATAACATTATGTCAAATTCACTTGCAACTTATAATGGGTAATCAGTTTTAATTATGATTTTATGACAGAATTGAATGGTAATTAGTCGGAATTGTAATTAAAAAGTTGCCTAATGATTTAAATTTACGCGAATTTGTAGGAGAGAAAGGTATAGCAATAGCATTGTTTGTTTTTGATATTTGGGCTATATTTATTAAGAAATAATCATCATCATCAACATCCTATAAATGCCCAGTGCTTTGCAAAGCCTGTTCTCACACGGAGAAGGTTTGAGCATTAATCACCACGCTTGCTCAATGCGGGTTGGTGATTTCAAACTTATAATTAGAAATTATAAGCCTAGGTTTCCTTACGATGTTCTACTGTTACTTTTCCTTCACCGTTTTTCAGTGGTGGCTGAATAATCTTATAAAGTACATAATAGTACATATAACTCGGAAAAAGTCACATTGGTACTTGCTGTTGGTAGGTTTCGAACGCGCACCCTCATGCATGAGAAGTGGGCGTCTCAAACCTCCAGGCTACCACGACTTTTAAGAAATAATATAGGTAATTAAAAGAAAACTATGAAAAATAATGAACAAAATAGTTTTGTTTTGGTATTTTTGCAAATTGGTTGGGTGGGTATAAAGTAGCGTTACATAGTTTCTGCCTACTCTCGTGCGAGACAGGCATGAGGTTAAATGTATTTGTATGTACGGTTAGGTGGGTAGCTGTAATCACCCACTTATTTAAAGACCACAAAGACATATAGGTGCCTCAGTATTTACTGTAATAGTTATATATGCTTCAGGAGTCCAGTCGTCACATATTTTACATTGAACCCAATCCTAATCGAATGTGTCTCCGCAATTATTTGTGACATTACTATGTGACATTATTGAATTGTAATGAAATGATTGACTTACTTATTTAATAATTGTTTAGTGGATGCTACATGTGACATGATGCTTTTGGATTTTGTTGTTTTATTTGTTTGAAAAATTGCTGACTTGATGCATCATCAATTTGATTTTGACTTACTTGATTTATTTTAATAATTATTGAAAATGGTAATATGTTATTAATTGAATTTAATTCTGAAATTTATTTTTTTGTATTTTTTGTATTTTGCTGTGCCCGACGGGGTCCATAATTGTGTCTTAGCTTTAAGCCACTGTAACATCTTATGAAACATTACGGAATGCAAATAAAGATATGAATATCATTATTATACCTAATGCATTCGACTCTCTACTAGGCCGCTCCTGTTGAAAGATGTCAATTCGAACTCTCATTCCTCATTCTCGCCTGTCATTGGTCGAGATTATTCTCATAAATAACACGGCGGTCTGCGGGTTAGAATTAACGCCTTGCAGAATAGCGTAGCAGGGTGTTGCGAATCTGGTTTACTTTCTTACCTTTTTCCCATTTTCCTATTTCTCTTTACCTTTTTCACTGCTTGGCTTATTTGGCCAACTCTATTAATACTGCCTGCCTCGTTTGCCAAATGGTCGCAAGTTCGACTGCCGGGCCAGGGGTAGCGGGTTCGATTCCGGGTCGGGCAAATATTACTGGATTTTAAAAAAATCTCAGTAGTAGCACGGAGTCTGGAAATGGCAATAAGCTCACCCCCTGTTACATGAGACGTCATAAATTGTATAAAGTGAGTGTTACATTGTACAGTGGCATTAAGTGCCGAAATGTGCACCTCTGCCTACCCCTTCGGCGATAAAAAGGCGTGATGTTATGTTATGTTTTTCATTGACATCATTGACAGCAGTGGCTGTGCAAGATCATGCGTGGACATCGGCGAAATTAGATTCGCGAGTCCTTTTCCCCATACAAGAAAACGATTAATTACATAAGCTGATTTACCTTAAGTTAAAAGAATGTAATAAACGAGTTTTATTGCTAATCATTTGATTACACAAAATACACCTGAGAACATTTAAGAATTATGTAACATAGCTAACACTAACCGCTATTAATATTTTCAGCTTCAATTGCAGAATGGATAACGCGGATAATCTCTTTTTTTTAAGTGTGGAATCTCATCGAATGACTGCTCCCGTCTGGGTGAGGCGAGAGGGAGTGTCAGACTCTTACTGACTAAAAACCACCCCGTTCCTTCTCCTGCACGTCGAGCCGGAGCCCCGGTAACCCGTTAGGTTCTCCGCGACTCCGATGTGTCTCCATAGGTGTATAATTATGTACTGGTATATGGGCTGGTGCTGAAAATCAGCGCCGTGGACTCGAGCCTTCGTGCCCGAGCTATAATATATAATAATAATATTATTCTCTTGGTTTTGTTTTTTTACTTTAGTACGTTCTGTTATTTGTATGATGCGTCAGGTATGTCTTTACATTATTCTCACATGTGTGTACAATATTGGAATATGTATCAGAGTAGTGTAAAACAGACTTTTTTTTAAAAGAGTAGGTAACGAATGGAGTTTCTTGCTCGTTCTTCTCCACTCGAATCGACATTTTGGAACGAGCGCCTAGCTTCACTGACGGACAGACTGACAGAATATTATTTATTTCATATTTGTTGACGTTTCAAAAGTACCAAATTATGGTTTAATTGAAATAAATGCTTTTGAGTTTGAGTTTAAGCTGAGCTCCGACCTTTTGCGCTGCGATGCACCGTGCGCTTCTTTTGTGTATACCTACCTTTGTACATTCTTGTTGTGGGCCATGGCGTCATAAATGATTTGTCTTTCTTTGTTACCATAAAACAGATAGACAAATAAAAATTAGATTGCTGAAAAGTTGGTAATGTTTCTTTCAGTAATTAAATCCTACTATCCTACTAATAATATTATAAACTAACTTTCTACCCACGGCATCGCACGCGCTTTTTAGGCACTAGGGTCGTACATACAAAAAAAAAAAAATGTTGTACAATTTTTTGTTAGCCACAAATAGTTCATATACTTACCAATTTTTTGCGTTTTACCTTGAAAATTACGGAATGCTCTGTAAGAACTTCCACCCCCATTTTAGGATAGTGGGTGGTAATTTACAACAACCCCTCCATACGTCAAATTCAAGTAACCTTTAGTGCTGCCATCTATGAAAGAAACACTTTACTATTAGCATTAGCACCATTTACATTAGTTTGTAAAAATAAAAATAGATGGCGCATTTTAAAATAAATCTCTTTACTATTTGGAAAATGAATTATTTGGATACTTTACTAAAAGTATTGTAGTGTATAGTGAATTTAGATTTGGAATGGAAATTAACCGACTAGAAATAAAACGGCAGTATGATTTTTAATCATCGTTGTTTATTCATATAATTTTCCTAATGCTTATATTATGCTAATGATATAATTTAGGTAACTACTATCAAATTATATTTCAATTATAATTACTTAGTATACACCCTAAATTAATATTTACACGTGAAACGAGTATAAAACATACCTATTCAGATTTATATTGTTCAACATCACTATTTACAAAAAAATAATTGAATACAAGAGAAAATAAATAATGCTTCCGACGGTTTTATTCAGGTTGTTAAGTTACAATATAAAACTAAATATAAATACACCTTTTATTTTATTTTTTACAATTTTTATTAAAAAATCAATTACATAACTAGATAGGTATTTCGTTGTTTTATTTAGCGCCATCTAGTTTGTGCTTAGCACAATTGTTTCCTAACGTGAGATCGGCCGTGATAATCTTAGTATTTGAGAAATAATAGAACTGTTTTGGATTAAAACTATTTAGTTATTTCTTATGTGTGTAGAAAAATACACTGTATTTGTTTAGAGAAGCTTTCTTAAATACGTACGGTTGCCAAATTAAGATATCGACAACGTTGATGACCAAATTTATACAATTGCATACAGACCTGTATAATCCATTCTTATGTTAGGTTAGTTAACCTATGTTACCTAAGGCAAAAGACAGCTTTTGCCTTAGGTAAATAGGAATAATATGGCTCTGGACCATAGTCAACATGAGAATGGATGAAACCAGTATGAAACTATACCTTTTTTTTTTATACCTATATATATTATTTACCATAATTTAAGAATGCTTCTTCAAACATAACATTTCTCATTTATTTTCCATAAATACATTAAGAGAAATACTGTCGTAAGACGAATTACTTTGTTGATTATTTTGTCTCTCTTCTGCATAATACTGCACCAATTATTATTAGCAGAACCTGCAACAAAAAATTGAACATAGATAGTTTTATCAAACACGCATAAATATTACTATGAGTGCAATCCATAATACCTAGATGTAGGAACTTATTTGAGGCAAAACAAAGTATCTATTGATAACTTACCTCAACTACTATAAGTAAAATTGATACACTGAACACCATCGACGAAGTCTCCTTAAATACCATGAGAACGAGGTCCTTGCACCCATCAGTGTAGTAAGTCTGTTTTACTTTGCAGAGTTCTCTATCTCTTTCTTGCACTAGATCAGACCTAGAGGAGTCGTAAGTGGGGCAGCAAGAGATTGGCACGTTTGGCGGAAAGTAGTAAGGCAGCTTCGAGCTTCGGTAGTCTTCTGGACTGTAGACACCGCAACAGTTCAACTGAAATAAAGTAAAACGAAAATCAATTAGATATTTGTTTTCGACTACAGAGAAAGATAAAAGATTTATGGTGAAAAGAGGTGGTGGAGTGAGAATTTAGTTTTATTTATTTTCCACATATTTACTATATAATTGAAGTACTCTATACATAAATACATTCTTAATAGGTTCAAAAACAAAAACAATTTTTTTTTAAATAAAAAAGTAGGAGCTGACCAGTAGCGGAAGCATGGTCCAAGCTACCGGTGGTTAGGGCTCTGACCCCTCCAGAGACAGAAACCTCCAAGGAGAACTGCCTTCTGTCGGTAAGACCTTGACCCATCCGCCTAACGCCATCCTAAGGTGGTCGTCGAGGCTGTTAGGAATTAACCCATTGGCTGACACGACTCGGCACAATGATAGCCAAAACCACATGTCGACAACCCCGTGATCCGAGTCAAGATATTCTATTTGTTAAATCTTTCTCAGCTTTCGCGAGGTTCCCAACATTGGGAATGGTGACATCGATTATCATCGTACGGCGCCCTTGTCGAGTGAGTCTATTATCGCTTCATCAAGTTTATTGGCTACACAGGCTACACTAGTCCTGTCAGTGATGATATTCTGGTCCCAGTACATATTGATATGACCGTTTTGCCTAAACTGAGTCTGGCACATACTTGTAGTACGATCCCTCAGACTCAACAAATCGATAGTGCAAATAAGTTGCTGGTGGATAATCTTGACTACCTGATTATGCCTATGCACTATTATACCGAAATATTAGTACTCGTATAGCTTCCTAATCATACAAACATGGCATAGGTAGTGATATTCTTGTTACCATTTTTGTTTCTATAATAAAGTTACTATTTATTATGGGTACAGTGTTTGTTTGTACAGCTGTAAAAATAATTTAATGATTACATAATAATATCGAACTTCAACTACCGACACTTACATCTGACTGGGTCATCGCCCACATCTTCACATGCCTCGGGTTTTCTTCTCGAGATTGCTTAAAGGAATCTGTCAGTGACTTGAGGAGTTTAGCCTCATCAGCTGGTTCCACATTCACAGATATGCCAGCAATCAATGCCTGCACTATTGCAAGAAGTAGTAGCACCACAGCTGCCTAAAAAAAATTTGTTTTTACTAAACTCGGTCTACTATTCACTCTTAGCCCCTTTACCATGTCGCGGAGAACCTAACGGGTTACCGGGGTTCCGGCTCAACGTGCAGGAGAAGGAACGGGTTGGTTTTTAGTCAGTAAGAGTCTGACACTCCCTCCCGCCTCACCCAGGCGGGAGCAGTCATTCGATGAGTTTCCCCCTTAAAAAAGCTCCTTTACCATGCACTAGCGGTTGACCGCTTAGGCCGTTCATATTGCCTGATACGGTTGCTAAAGCGATTATATAGCGCTTGCATATTAAATTGGAAAAGCGACCAACCGCAGACGTGGTAGCCGCGCGGTTGGCCGCTAGTGCGTAAAGGGGCTTAGGTTGTGATCGTAGTTCCAAAGATTTCATACAAAATTACACCAAAACATGGGACAGCCATTTGTTCATATCAACTGCGCCAATAGGCTAGTTTCCTAAATTTTATTTTAATGTCCGTCTGGTAGTTTGTTTAAAGCATTAGACACGTATTTTTTCTTTTCTCACAAATTTAAATGCTTTCGACGATATATTGATTAGAAATGTCGTGTGACGTCACAGCGTGCAACAAAATATAGCACGTTGTGACGTAACTACCTCCCACTCTTAAACTGAACTCCGTTTTATCTAAATATTAATTTTCTTACCCTGGAAACTACACAATTGTACCTATAAGCTAAGGATCGCAAATATAGCGAAATATCCTTTGTGCACTAAATCATTTTTTATGGGATAAGCCGGTACACGAGCAGATGGATCACTACTTGATGGTAAGCAATCAGGGCCACCCATGGCCATCCGAAACACTGGGGGCTATAGGGTTCTCCGACCAGGGTAGTATTGGATAGCATAAGAGGCTTTCAAACAGTGACTAGACAAACATGACCTCAAGCTACATTGTCGTCCCTCTCGCCTAACCCAAGAAGGGAGAAGTAATAGGATGATTTTACCCCTCAAAAAAAAAGCTACATTGTCGTCATATGGTGAGCAATTGATGTAATATTTACAATAATTTTACAACCAGGACATACAAAACCCTGGGGTTGATCCTGACAGAATGTAGTGCGACTACCAACTATTGTAATCACGAGTGGTAGGTAACAATTAGCATGTCAAGTTCGCGTGATATGCCAACAGTTTTCCATTGAACTTGAATATATTATGGACGTCAAGGACGTAAGCAGGGGTTATGCCCTTGAAGCCCATTCTTGGATCCCTGTACCTTCTTTACACGTTATACTTGCGACATTTATGTACTAAACTTTTAATTTTTTATCCTGACTTATTAATGGAATGATGATAATTATATAAATCTCTCGATAGATTTCGACCATTTTTTTAAGAGGGGAAAATCATCGAATGACTGCTCCCGCCTGGGTCAGGTGGAAGGGAGTGTCAGACTCTTACTACGACTAAAAAAGAAGAATTCTTGCGAAAATGTCAGAGATGGCACCATATTTAAGTACTACTAATTGAGTCAGCTTTCGTACTATGTATATGCGTAATTGGGGGTCGGGCGTAAGCCAAGTAAACGTATTAAGGTATGCTTCAATGACATAATAATATTATTTCATACGTATCAGCTTGTGCATAATACCATTAGATTCATTCCACGAGTGTAAATAAATTAATAAAGGCAGGTACATACACAATTGTAAACAGTTTACGACTTATTGTACTGCGTATTGTTCATATTATCGGCGAGTTATAAAAAAACTACATTTAATACATTTACTTTTATTGCCATTCAATATAAACTTGCATTCTTATATAGTACGAGCATATTAATAGAGTTTTGCGTATTTTCATTGTTCACAGTTACATAACTGTTACGTCATACACTTGGGGACAGATACGCCTGATCATTTTAAAATTCTGTTGCTTGAACACAGCAAAATCATAACGTCATATCCCATAAATGTTTAAACTATCAAATAGAAAAGCGATAACGTCGCAGCTGAGTGACTCAACCTGTGTAATCTCTTAGTCAGTGATGCGTTTGATGTTGTTAGGCTACCGGCGCCGGCGCTACCCCCACCCAGCACCCCGCTTCATTTATCAATTCAAGGTCATGAGGCGGAGATAGAGAACGTATCTCGTCAGGTGCAAACTAACATTAAATTAATGGTGGTCAAGCGGATGTGCCCCTCTTTGTACACTAGACCTTATACCGTAATAAAACATTCAACATGCCGCATTGTATTTATCAAAATGTGTGCAATGAAGACATGGTACGCTACGTACAAATACCGGTCAATTTAATAACGAAATGACTTGTACCTATTTACAGTTGATGACTTAACTAACTACTTAATCCCGCGTGATTTCACCCGCGGCTCTTATTGGTCGTAAAGTTTATTGTTTACTAGCGACCCGCCCCGGCTTCGCACGGGTGCAATATGCATGCATACATAAAAACCTTCCTTAAAAGTCACTGTATGTGTTAAAAAAAACCGCAACAAAATCCGTTGCGTAGTTTTAAAGATCTAAGCATACATAGGGACAGACAGACGGCGGATAGCGACTTTGTTTTATACTATGTAGTATGTGATTTCACTCTTCAACCTTTCAACTATTTCCACTTAAAAAATTACATTGATTTCATTATCAACCGTAAAGACGAACAAACAAACAGACACATTTTCGCATTTATAATACCTACTTTTTAGCTGTTCTCGCCCAGTTTCACCCGCTCTACTCGACTCCTATTAATCGTGGCGTGATGTTTTAAACTGTCAAACACCAAGCGGTCACCGGTGACCGCGACCTATTGTTCTTTAATTGTGTCTATAAAACCGGTACTCGACGAGTTAAAGCCCGTAGGTAGCCTTCTTCGATAGATGAATGAACAATTGAACACAAACAATTTTTATTCAATTTGAACGAGTAATTCAGGAGATACGCGAATTCAAACAATTTGCTTGTTTGAACTGAAAAGATTGTACTATTTAGCTTTATATAATAAGTATAAATAAGTATTAAGAATGTAAGATAAGTAAGTATAAGATATAAGATTGATGATGATGACTAAAAACTACCCCGTTCCTTCTCCTACACGTCGAGCCGGAGCCCCGGTTACCCGTTAGGTTCTCCGCGACAAGATTAGTATGGACTGTGGCGACGATGCCGAGTGGTCGCAAGTGCCTCTGCTGAGCAAGGGGTGTCGGGTTCGATTCCCGGGTCGGCCAAAGTATTACTAGTTTTTTTTTTCATTCTCAGTAGTAGCACGGAGACTACAATTGTGCCCGGTATATGGCAATAGGCTCACCCCTTATTACATGGGCCTCATAACATAAATAGTGTAAAGTGAGCGTTACATTGTACAGTGGCATTTAGTGCCATAATGTGCACCTCTGTCTCCGGGGATAAAAGGCGTGATGTGATGTTATTAGTTGTGTGAAGCGACGTAATAAAAGAAAACAGATACTAAAAATAAAATAAATCGGTAATCACCACATGAACAGGTCTCGAATGTTTTTTGAAAACAGCGACTTCTCCATAGATGATGGTGCATATTGTGAATGCTGCTAACACCGCCATGAATACCATGGCCACCATCCTGCTGGACTGTTCAGCATCATACGCCTTCGTTGCTATCGATGTTAATATTGCTAAGACTATTAGTGCTACAGCTGCTATCTGGAACAAGTGACGGATTTTAGAACAAGCGAACGTCCGAATACTGAAGTACTGTTCAATTTTAACTTGTAAATGTAAATAAATATAGTGCTATCTCTGTCATCCTACGAAGAACTGAGAGAAGTATACTTAAAATTGAGTATAGCCTTTCAGTATTTCAAACATTGTGGAATGCAATAAAGCATTTGTATTTATCAATATTCGGGCTCTAGTTGCTTTAATTGCTTAACCGAATGTAACGTCATTGCATTCCAGAAAAGCTCTACTAATTTCATGTTACACTGGGACTCTTATTCATAAGCAGTGTGCGCAACGCGGCTACACGCAATGCATCGTCGGCCACATCATCGCTAACAACCAGGGGGGATGATGGCTAAACGTTGTCCTATTAACCGTTAGGTTGCGCACTATAGAGTACCATGGACCCCACGATACCAGCGTACAGCTATCGAGTCCGATCGAGGTCCCATCGGCCAACCAGTACCAGTCCTAAGTACCATTCTCTTAGAGGGCTTAAAACCCATGCGTACACCTCCTACAACTAAACTAGAATCCTATGGTAAGCAAGTACATCTATCTTTGGATATTTTTATATGTACAATGATAGGTACATTTTTATCACTTTATAATTATATCTATAATATTAATTGGACAACAAAATCTACATAGTTTGTGGTAAATGTTAGTTTTGTATAATATTTTATTATATGTCATATATTATAGAACTTACCCCTCCAATTATGCCTAAGATCACGAACACTGTTTTAAGGCAATTCTGTTGGGAATGACCTTCGTGCTTGTTTTCATGATTATGAGTTTTTTCATCTTGTTTCTCATCCATCCCACTTTCAATGGCGTCATGTTTGAGATCTGACCCGCTTCCTGAGAAACAAAAGGTAAATTAAAATTTGTTTGATCTCATGTAATTTTTGTATTTTAGGAATGGAATTCCTTGCCGGAATCTGTGTATCCCGACAAATATGACGTGGGTGTCTTCAAGTCTCGAGTGAACAGGTTGCTTATAGGTAGGCGTGCTCCATAGTCGGCCACATCATCGCTTACCACCAGGCGAGATAGTGGCCAAACGTAATCTTATCAAGTATAAAATCTTAAAGGTTTAATTTAATCATTATTGTTTAACTCGGTAAAACCAATAATGCAAGAATGATTGCTTGTTTGTTTGAACTTTCAACCTCGTAAAAGAGCAATTTTGTCAATATGTCCTAAGATAATTGGGAGGCTGGACTGGAGAGATTGCCAGCTGATATAATGTACAAATATAATGTAATATTTCTGTGGTTACATCGTTCCCTTTGACAAGGCAAACGAAATCGTGGATTTTACAACGTAATCACTAAAATAATACACGTACTAATGTTTAAATTATAGTGTAGTGTAGTTCATATTCTTAGCTTTATATTTTTATTAACATTTTCATTTTTACTAACTAGTGTTTAATTTTGTTATAACCAATGTTTTTAAAATTCTAAATAAGTCTTTAATTTTATGTTCTATTTACATGTTACACGTCGATGTCGTAAGTAGAAGTTTCTTTTTTTTCAATTACTAAAATTATATTTTCCTTATTCGTTTGTATAGTTTTTTTATCACTTAATTGTAAAGTTGGTTAACCTATAATTGGCGACTGTATAAGCCCAGTACCTATATAATTCCTCAAATTATGTATACCGAAGCAGTCTGTATACCTTATTAAATAAATAAATAAACTTATGATTGGACTAATGCATTTCCAGTTTTTTTTCGCTCAATGCTCCGTATCTTCTAATTGTTCTAATCTCCCAAATCACAAGGAGAATTTTGGGCGTCTTAAAATCGTGGACAATTTGGCGGTTTGTAATAGTTTTAATTAAAAATTGAAGGTCGGACTTACCTTCCTGATCCACAGTCGCCATATCTTCCCAATTGATGGGACACTCGTCAAAACTGAGCCGCACATCCGTTGGACCTGTATATATACGACAATAACAATACAACATGACCGCATGGTCTAACGCACGGTTTCATACAAATAATGGAGTAGATTCATTCACTATACTTTATGTGGCATTATAGAAAATCGTTTGTGTACGATAGTTACAAAGTCGCGGTCAAGACTGTGTGTTTTGGATCCTGGTTGATGTCTAGATTTCTTAATGTTAGACCTTTTTGAAACTAGCTTTCTGTAAACGAATACTGCAAGAAATTTTATATAATTTCGTCTAGTCCGTGAAATGGATCTTCAGAAATGTTCACGGTCTTAAAGGTTTGTAATTCGTGACGTGTGTCGTATGTCGTGGTGGCTCGGAGGTTTAAGGCGCCCGCTTGTCATGCATGAGGTGGGTTCCAAACCAATGCCAAGTACCAATGTGACTTTTTCCGAGGTATATGTAATTTCTAAGATTATCTAGACACCACTAACAAACGGTGAAAAAAACATCGTGAGGAAACCTGGACTTATAATTTCTAATTGTAAGTTTGTAATCGCTAACCCGCATTGAGTAAGCGTGGTGATTAATGCTCAAACCTTCTCCGTGTGAGAAGAGGCTTTGCTCAGCAATGGACATTTACAGGCTGTTAAAAATGATGACTTCGTGACGGTTTAAATACCGACCACATATGAAGTTGCAGGTGGAAATCTACCAATATTTGTATCACATATTTCATCATCAGCCTGCAACTCCCCCTGCTGGGAAAACACAGAGAAGGGATGAGTTTAATCAAGGACTACGTGCTGAGGCATGATAGTTAGTGATTTTACTTCTGATTTGGAATCTTATCTTATACCATTATTGTATATATATAAAGTTTGTTTTTTGTACAAGCTAATGTCAGGAACTACTAGTCCGATTTGAAAAATTATTTAATTTTTTATGTTTAGTAGTCCATTTACTGAGGAATGCTATAAAACATGACGATACGATAAAAAGAAGCCAAGCAAAGAGGTCAACACCACGCAGAAGTAACAGGTATATTTAAATATAAAAGTATTGAATTTGACTAGGTATAGAATATCGTACTATTTGCAAGAAGAAATTGTCGAAAAAACTGCCCGTTTACAGGCTCTCAGCATTATCATGACGCTCGGTACACGAGCAATTCAATGTATTTATAAGCATAACTATTGCGTCAACTACATAAAGATAAAAAATTACGTATGTAAATAGACGTAGAATGACTCCCTCGTTGACCGAATGGTAGCAAGTGTGACTCGGCAAGGGGTCTCGGGTTCGATTACCGGGTTGGGCAAAGTATTACTGAGCTTTCCGCACAAAGTCTGGAATTGTGTCCGGTATATTGGAATAGGCTTACCTCCTATTACATGGTACTCATGACATAAATAGTGAAGAGTTGGTGTTACATTGTGCAGTGGCATTAAGTGCCGTAATGTACATCTCTGTCTACCCCTTCGGGGATAAAAGGCGTGATGTAAATATCTAAGTATCAACACTGTTATTTGGTGCTGTCTGCCACACCACCGTGATATTCGATCGAAAAAGACTTTGATTATAAAATCGAGAATGAATCAGAGAGATATCTGATGGCGACACGATAATGGCTCCCGCCTAATGTTTAACAAAACCTTTTGATTTCCGAATGGAGACAGAGGTGCCGAATACAATTTTTTTTATATTTTCTTATTGTTTTATTTGTGTTGTGAACTGTTTTAACTTAACTTTTCCTACCTTTAATTATATAGGTCTCCTACTATTATATAGAATGGCACGTTTACAGTGGTCCAAAGATTTTTTCAGCTTGAGAGCATCACTCTACGATCAATATGAACGGTGTTTCTAGGTTATCAAAAATTATGAGGTAATTAGTCCGTCAGTTAGACAATGAAAAAATATTAGACACGTATTTTTTATTTCCTCGTATTAAGTTGCAATACTTAAAAAAATGACGCTAAGTTTAGGAGCGGGGGTTATTACGTCATAACGTGCTAAAAAATGTGGCACGCTGTGACGTCACACGATATTTTAAAATAATATATCGTCGAAAGTATTTAATTTGGTGAAAAAAGAAAAAATACGTGTCTAAAGTTTTACAATAATGTACCAGACGGAGATTAAAATAAAATTTATGAAACTACCCTATTCCGCTAAAACATACATACGTAGGTATATAGTATACCTCTAGATCAAACAAAAACCCGAAAGTCTGTTAAAAATGGGCAATATTTTCTCCCGATAACATGGGTGAAGATAGAAGATAGATACTAAAAACCATACTGAACACTCCACTTACCTGAAGACAAAAAGCAATTCAGAGATAATTTCACACCATGGAAGTATAAAGATGTATTTTAATATTCACTGAACTTCATACTTCAAAAATGGTAGACTAATTGACTATTGTTCGGTAATACCATTGTAAATGTATTTTTATGAACTTATATGGTTACATTTCAAGTGTAGGTGAACACTGTTTCTTCATAAGATACTGACTTCCTCGAGCTTGTTAGCATGTCACCAAATGGCAGAGAGTGCTAACTATATGTCAGTCATGTTAATAAACATTGTAGTATATTGATTTTGTCGCTTCTATAAAATAAAATACAAAGGCCGATTGAATTAACTTTATTTTGTCTTATTTAGTGGATTGAACGAAAGATTGTTTCACAGACTACCTCGTTGGCCGAGTGGTCGCAAGTGCGACTGCCGGGCAAGGGGTCCCAGGTTCGATTCCCGGGTCGGGCTAAGTATAACTGCGTTTTTTAAAATCTCATTAGTAGCACGGAGTCCGGAAATGTGCCCGGTATATGGCAATAGGCTCACCCCCTATTACATGGGACTCATAACATAAATAGTGAAAAGTGGGTGTTACATTGTACAGTGGCATTAAGTGCCGAAATGTGCACCTCTGCCTACCCCTTCGGGGATAAAAAGGCGTGGTGTTATGTAATATTGTTTCACAGAGTGTGTTATGATCTATGCATGTTTTGTACTATTAAGCTGACAAGTTTGTTTGTTTATTTGAAGTCGCTAAACTCCGAAACTACTGATTCGAATTTAATAATTTCATTTTTGTGTTGTATGATCCGTTTATTGAAGAAGGCCATTTACTGCCTCGTTGGTCGAGTGGTCGCAAGTGCGACTGTGGTATCCTTACCACAGTCGCACTTGCGACCACTCCTGTCTCAGATTCGATTACCGGATCGGGCAAAGGACTACTAGGTTTTTTTTTAAATTCTCAGTGGTAGCACGAACTCTGAAATTGTGCCCGGTATATGGCAATATGTTCACCTCCTATTACATGGGACTCATAACATAAATAGTGAAAAGTGGGTCTGGGTGGTATGTTACATTATGCTATAGACTATAAAACATCACGCTACGATTAAAAGGGAACCAAATGGTGGATGGAGAACCTAACGGGTTACCGGGGCTCCGGCTCGACGTGCAGGAGAAGGAACGGAGTGGTTTTTAGTCAGAGTCAGTTAAGAGTCTGACACTCCCTTCCGCCTCACCCAGGCGGGAGCAGTCATTCGATGATTTCCCCCCATAAAAAAAAAAGTGGTGGATGGAACCGCGCGGCAGGAGCTAGGCTGGCCAAAATGGCTGCGTTCAGTCAAATTATTAAATTGGTGTTATAATTCCACTCGAGTGATTAACTGAGGGAAATGGATCATTTCTGTGTTAACAAGACGAGCGTGAGTTAATCAGGATTTATTCGACAAACATTTGGACTAGCGAATTTTTGTAGGCTGAGACCGACGTCGTATGTAGTTTACATATGTGATAGGGGGGCCAAATGAGAAGACGGGTCAGACGGACGGACGACGGAGGGAAGATCACGCAATTGTAAGCGGTTGGCGCCACCATACATTCTCACTCTTGAAACTAATCTCAATGTCAATTGCAATTCGATCCAATAAAATCACAATAATTATTCAATGTCAAATGCCGTCACAGAACTAACCAGAGCTAACTATAAGACTTATATAATTTCTGTGACGTCATCATAATATATCCACGAAATATATATTAATATATTATAACCTAATTGGCTAATGTACCGATACCGACCAATGGTTGCACGGTCATCGCGGTGGCTGGGCTGCTAGCTGCCGTGCAACGTGTAGCGGGTTCGATTCCGGCACGGAACAATTCTTTGTGATAGCAGTGCTGACTGTACTTGGGTTGTGGGAAATATTACTATATTGTGTATTTTTTTTAAATTGTTAAAAATTCAGATCAATTAAAATTATACAAATCTTTGGACGTTTACCAGGGACAGGTAGGTACACCTACTTCACCATAAGATAGACAACCATAGGTAAGTAGGTAGGTTAGGTACTGATATATGAGTATAACATAAAATATATTTATTTCTATAAATAATAGCTACAAGCAATACTACTAAAAACATGCTACTAAAATAAATTACTTTGGATGAATACGGCAGTTTTTTCACAGCCGAAGTAATTTATGTTTCTGGTGGTGTGGGGCTACAGAAAGTACCTATTGTTAATTTTTGAGAGTACACTCGTGGTCAACGAAGTTACAAAAAAATCTTGAAAATCTAAACTTTAATGCAGCAATAGAGGTTCACTTTTTTATGGCATAAGCCGGTTAACGAGCAGATGGATCACCTGATGGTAAGCAATCGGCGTCGCCCATGGACACCCGGAACACCAGAGGCGTTACAAGTGCGTTACCGGCTTTTTGGGGATTAGAAGTTTGAGGATCGTTGGGAATTCAAGGATTGGGGAGATTGGGGAAGGGGAAATTGGGCCTTCTATTATGTTGTTCTATTATATTTTTAAGAATATATCTACCTATACTGATAAATAAAATTGGAGTGTCTGTTTGTAATATTAGAAAGGAAGAAAGAAAGAAAGAAAGAAAAACCATTTATTTTGCTACGACACACAACAAGAATTTAGAAACCCAAAAAATAGCCTATGGTGCGTCGCAGCGCAAGAGGGTGGAGCTCAGCTTAATACCGTGGACCGGGCACAGAGGCT